TCTCAGTAGTAGCACGGAGTCTGGAATTGTGCCCGGTATATGGCAATAGGCTCACCCCCTATTACATGGGACTCATAACATAAATAGTGAAAAGTGGGTGTTACATTGTACAGTGGCATAATGTGCACCTCTGCCTACCCCTTCGGGATAAAAGGCGTGATGTTATGTTATGTTACTTGTACACGACAATAATAGTTTGATCTGAACTAATCTTTTATTTTTTCACCTCATAGGCAACAAATAGATTGACTAACTTTTGAAATATAATTACCGTCCTCCTTTTTGGGAAGTCTGTTAAAAATGCTGAACTTTTATGTAAGTAATGTAAGTGTTTATCTGAATATAATAAAGGTAAATAAAATAATACTAATATTTAACTTTTATCACATTTATTTATAACAAGATATAAATAGGTAATAAGCAATATTGTAACATACAGACAAGTTATAAAATATCAACCACTACATTTAGTTTCTGCTTCACAATGTTTGATTAAGTTATTTGACGTATTTTATATTTCATGGGCCGCCATTTGGTCTCTCGCCTGGTAAGCGATGATGTGGCCTACCACTACGACTGAGCACATCTGCCCATAACCAACCTGTTCATTCATTCGAACCTTGACGACCTTGAAGACTTGAAGACATACCCTTCAGGAAACACAGAAAGGCAAAGAATTGGGATGATGACAGGGTATGAAAATTAAAAATCTAATTAGTCTGGAAGTTTACCTAACTTACGGACTACTTAGATTAAAAAAATAATAGACACGTATTTTTTTATTATGATAAAACGAATCAGTTTAGGAGTGGGGGCTAAAACATCATTTCTACGTATAAAATGTACATAGAAGTGACGTCACGCGACATTTCAAATCAATATATCATCGAAAGTATTCGTTTCTGTAAGAAAATAAAAATAAAATATGTGTCTAATGATTTAAAATAATCTACCAGACGGAGATTAAAATAAAAATTAGGCATCTACCCTATTCCACTCCTTAGCAGTACGCACAAGGATGCCTGAAGCGAAGCGCTTCGTGCGTGTGAGTGGAATATTTACCATGAATCGGTGACGCTTTGCCGATTGTCTTGTGGTACAATAATGGAATGAACTAGGGGGAATCAAGTTATGCAATTCCCTGCACACTGACCGAAATGTATCCGGTGAAAACCGAAAGGCTTGCAACCTTGTGCCTGTGTTTTATAAATTGATAGCGATTGAATAGACAGGTCAAAGGAACGACGATGATCATCAACGACACCTGTTGCTTGTTGGCGAAATTTTAAGCGAAACACAACGCAAGCGTAGTCTCATGCCTGTAATCTGTGAGGCCGTCGTACCAGCAGCTGTAGCCAAATGCCATTTAGAGCTTGTCTTCATGTAGAATAGAAAACCAAATTATGGAATTGACGTAAATTTTGACACTTGTCAGTGTCATCCCCATACATTTTGATTTCTACTCTCTCGGTAGACAAGCGCTAAAGTGGCGTTTGGCTGAAGGCACAGGGCCGTCTCTGAGGTCCTTGAGCATACAACAATTCGGGGTCCTTTTGAAATGCTTTTTCTTGTTGCTCCATACTAAGATTTTCTCCTGTATCGTGGGTGCGTTTACAAACATACAAGTTCACATACACATGACACCCAGACCCGGAACAGTAATTTGTGGATCACACGAACATTTGCTCCTTGGATCAAACGCGGGTGTTTCCATCGTAGAAATTGTCGGTCTTTAGGGCCACCCTGATGATAGGGGACCCCTGGTGACAGGCCCCAAGTGCCCTTATGATAAAGACGATACTGCGTGGTACCACTCCGGTCGAGCTGACACAGCAGTGCAACATCGGCTCAAAATATGTCAGTTACCAACATCAACTTAATAATTAAGTAAATGTTTGACGAGGAACTCGACTAAATTCAAGCCATGCTAGAGGTTCATGACTGTTTGACATCGTGAAACAAGCCTTAACCTCAAGTACAATTTGTAATTATGAGACTATGATACATTTGATCCCAATTTCGTTAGTCTATAGTAGGTACCTATTTAATAACAATATGTATTACAAAATATAGTGTTATTACATTTGTAATAATAGCATATAAATATAAATTAAATCTGAATAACAATGTGTACAAATCATGGCTTTTAGTCAAACGCCACTTTAGCGCTTGTCTACAGAGAGAGTAGAAATCAAAATGTATGGGGATGACACTGACAAGTGTCAAAATTTACGTCAATTCCATAAAATTCAGTTTTCTATTCTACATGTAGACAAGCGCTAAATGGCATTTGGCTACAGCTGCTGGGATGCTATGGATATGAAATTTCAGATTGGATACGGATATAGAAATGATTATTATACTGGATATGAAATTATTTCGGATTATCCGTTATACCTCCCTCCCCATTACCTGGGACC